CTGGGATGACCTGGCTACCGGACCCACATCCCGACAATCACCAGCTGTCTCGGCCGCTTCAGGGCCAAACAAGCTCGGAGGCGTGCGCTGCTTCGGGGCATGGCGGAAAGAAAGGAAACCCAAAGGCCTGGATGATTTTTCCACAGGCTCATCAGCAAATGGGGGCATCAGAAATGATGCTTGAGATGCAAGGCACATGTTTATCATCTCTAGACAAATCTAGACCCAAACTGGAACTGACCAGCATAGAAATCCGCTGCTCAGCATCTACTGTAACTGTGTTTATGTGTTGTTGTATTTCATCTCCATACTAAGCAGTACAGTTGCAGTATTGGTCACTGGAACACGCTTTTCCTTCTTTGCCTCTATTCCCAAAGCCTGTCAAAGATGCAATCTGACAGTTTGCCAAACGGGTGGGCCAACCAATTGGCATCCATGAACTGGAGTGGAGTCCATGAATTATAGCTTTAGCATGCTACATTTAGCTGCCTATTTGTCTTCCACAAAAAACACGGCCATCAGCAATGCGAAGCCTGCGCAGGCCAAGCTCATTCCATTTCCGCTCATGGATCTCAGGCAGGATTCGGAGAGGTAATCCAGGTTCACCTTGTCCTTGGCGAAAATTCTGCTTTAGAAATGAGACCAAGACCCTGAAGAACATGGAATCCTGTTTGAACCAACTGCCATGCACTAGACAAGATTCAACACCGGCAGCCCTTGCTCCACGACCCCATGTTGGATATCCCAACACATGAAGCTGCTCCCATCCCAACAGGAGCCTTCCCTCGTCTTCTGACCTGAGACATGGAAGAAAATTGTGTTGAGAGAATGAACCATTACCGCTGGACATGTTGTTCAACATATCATGTTTGTTGTCAGGGGGCCAAAGCTGACTTGATGTTGTCAGGCAAAGCATGGATCCATCTTTCAATTCGGTCCGTCGGCGAACATCAACGTTGGCAGACAGGTCGAAGATTCGCTTGGTTGGGACAGCGGCGCGGTACTTGGAGAGATGGTACTGCTGGGACCTGTCAGGGTGCATTTGGATTTTTGGGTTGAGTAAGAACGATTCAATATTATATAATATTATATATCATACGCTTTAGCGAGTTAATGTTTTTTCTGCCTATTTGCCTGGACAAATCTTGTTCATAAACTTCTTTGCATTGAGCATCTGTTGCAACATAGTAGGCAGAAGCATCAAGCATAAGTGCGCAATCTCTGGGGGCAAGAAGTATGTCAGCTAACTTCTGCAAGCTGTGTGGACATGACCACTTCTTCTTGCGGGTATCGTACACCACTCTCCAGCTCCTTTCCCGGTGGTTGGGGTGCCCGAACTGTCGAGGGCAAAGCCTGAGCGTGGAATGCACTGATGATACAAAGGGTTTGTGAGATTCATTGAGTTTCACACTGAACCGTCTGGATCTTGTGTTTGGGCAGGTGCATCTTCAGGTAGTCCTGTCGCAATTGACAACGATTCAGTCCCTACCTTTTGTGTTCTCCCCCCTCCCCCGCCTCTTCGTAGTGAGGAACATTCTCATGAATGTTCACCGGGGTTGACCGCATGAAAGCGGTTGCAACATCATGCACTTTCTTCAGCTCAACATTCTTAAAGCCTTGCCGTTTTCCATACCTGGAAAAGGGCAATGGAATTTACACCGTCTCATCTTATATATTTGTAAATGATGGAAAGCTTGCACGGGGGCACGTTGAGAAAAGAATGCACGGTGCTCCAACAAGGCCACAGCTGTTGCTAGTCAAGTTCAGCGGGCACCTGAATAGCAGAACTCAGGTCAGGTACGGTCAAATTCCTGGATACAAGAAAGCTATGTTGCAAACATTTGGATGCATCTCATAAATACATGAGATAAGGCACGGTGTCTGGTGTTGAACACATTCGTAGTGTTTCTTCAGTGTCAGCTTTGCTGGATTCCAATTTTTGTTTTAGGAGGATCCCGCACCAACTTGAGGATATTGTTGAAGATACAGCTGCTTGGGAAGCACTCTTTGGTCAATCGAACGCAGCCTCGGGATTTCTCAACCTCAGGTCGGTGATTGCTTGTCACCAAACAAACCAAAAAGCACATGCAAGCGTTTCCATGTGGATAACTTTGAGAAAGGTAACTGTGAAGGAATGGGTCAGCTGGCACTCTGTACCCCACAAATGCTTTGCTGCAGCTTCAATCATTTGCCAACTACGGCGTTGACAAAGCGCTCCACCAAAGAGGTCGTAGCACGTCCAACTTACATTACCTTTGCTGGCAGGGATTTTTGAGACACACCGTGTACACAATCACACAAAGAGTGTTTTTCTATTTCTTGAATTTCTTTGTTTTGTTGTATTCTTGAATGATATTCCAGCGCACGAAGCTTCTCAACCACAAACTCTGTCCCGAAGAAAAGTTCACAACGCTTCAGGAGCACGAAAGCCCAACACCTTGGCAAAATTCCCAACGCCACAGCTCAGTAAAATAACAGCCGTTCACAGAAATTGAGGTCTTGACGATAACTCCTCAACAGTTTTCGGCATGGGGTACTGCGGCCTCAAAAGCAAAGACCACTGAAGCTTGCGCAGGCTCAAAATAGACAGGTGACTAATGATGTCAGGTTGAGATATTTGGTGGGTTGGGTGAGGTGCTTGGATGGACTTTGATCAGCTGGCCCCTCTGAGGTCAAGACAATGAAGAAGCAGCATCATCATGAGGCTCGCTGTCAGACAGAACCACAACATCGGCAGCCGGACGTTTCCTAGCCACTGGCATCCTGTTTCCAGCCGGATGTTTGCCGGAAGACTTTCTGTTCAGGATTTTCTGTAGCTCTGCTGATGACAGCGGCATGGCACAGAGCGAATGCTACACACACAAACTAGTAAATCTGGAAAGTTGTTCTTTTTGCATGCCTGTTGAAGATCATAGAAAGTGGTATGGAAAGTTGGCCATGGAAAGTATGGAAAGTTGGCACCTTGCATGATCATGCATAGATTGGAAAACTAACTGCGGTAAATGAACAGGTCTGCATTTGTAAGATCTCGAAACATGCACAGTCCTTTTCTTGGGTTCCCAACTGCTGCTTTGCGCAGGCAGCCTGCAAATGAGTGACCGACCGTCTGGGACAAATTGTGCAGTGGCAGCGACATACAGCATTGGCATGGCAAAGTAGTACAAAACATTATTTTGCCAGGAAACCTCAAGGTTCATCACAAGCTTCCCAAACAGATCACTGGACCAATCCTTCCATCATAGTCCTTTATTTACGTTTCGTTTGGCAGTGCGCTGGCCCAAAAGTGGCCTCTCGGAAGTTCGCTGCGATGGGAAAGGTGTTGTGAGGCTGCCCTGCGATGGTAGCTGGGCATCTGGTAGTTGTCCACTGCTCACTAGATTTTAGGTTTTTGATGGTGTTCAACTCCAACCCATTTATGATGCTGTCCTGCATCGCATAGTGCAGTGAACGAAGACCAGCACCTGAAAAGATGGTTGATCTCTTGCTTGATCTCTAAGACTTGCTTCCTTCCTAGATTGAGCTGATCAATCTCCAAGTGCTAGCTGATTGATCACCAGCACCAACACCCTCTCTCTCTGATCACCAGCATCCCGAAAAATAGATGGGACATCAAAACATTGATAACAACATGCTTGACTGTTTGACCCCGCGCCGCATTGAGGAGCCAACAATTGTTGGCATAGCAAAAGTCAATGAAGTTAAAGTAGGCCTGTGTTCCAAGGATGCAGCCTGCTGAAGCGGCCGATTTCCAGTCAGAGAAACATACTGGGGCACCAATTATAGTAACTTAAAAAATATGAAAGAAACCGGATCAACTTTTGATTTTTTTTGCAAACATTGTTCAGCTGCTTAGGGTTTTTTGGCTGTGGCCATGGTAGGTTTTCAGCCAATGTGTGCAAACATTGAGAGCTGCTTTGCAGCTTTGACTGTGGCCATGCTGGTTCCTGTGGCATGGTTGGTAGTGGAGCTTTCAGCCCCAGATGGCATTAATCCAACCTCAGTTGCCACTAATGTAACTTACAAACACATCGCGTTTCCATATTTCCATGAAAGTCGATGCAAAAGGACATGGCATGAAAACGCATGAGCGCACAGCATGTCTATGAACAACGACATTGCACGAACACTCATGAGTGCATCGACTCTGTCCACAACCAAACTATCGTGACATTGGTTGAAACTTGTAGTTTGGTGAACACCCAGTCTCAACAGATTGAAACTTGGTGACCACCCTGTCTCAACAGGTGTATATAATTGACGTCTCAAAGACACTTTCAATTCCCTGGACACGAGGTTTCTCGAGACATCGGTGAACAGTGCGCAGAACTCAAACTTGTTGAACCCTCACATATAACATATATCATTGGCGTTGAACACCTGACGACAGTCATATTGCCCATGCCGCATGCCATGAGGAGAAACCAATGACATGTCATTGTGACATGACGCGGCATGACCATCCCATGACATGCATCCTATGTAACATGACCTTCCCATGACGTCCATGAAGCAAAATGCTATACGACATGGCTCAAAACACCTTTCGACACTCCAGTCACATGTCCATGAGGAAAAGTGACATGATGTGATGTGACATGGCGTGTTGCAGCCCAGTGTCTGGTTTTTTCCAACTCTGAAGGAGCGTGTCCGTGATGCTACACAGGTGCAGGAAGGACTGGCAACACCTTCTGAGTCCAGGGCTGCAGTCATCAAGAACAAACTGTAGAATATAGCACCGAAGGATCAGCAGGAAGTTGATGGTCTCTGAAGCGCTTCCTTTCAAAGGATCTGTCTTGTTGGACCGCTTCTCCAGGCAAGCCTTAGGCCTGGCTCCCTGAAGCCGACGCGGCATCACAAAGGCCTGAACAAACAAGGCTATGTCTTGAGCCTGGTGACCTCCCTTGTGGAGCTCTGCTATTGTGAGTCCAGCGTGCACGGAAGCAACCCCATGCACAAAATAAATATGGAACCAGTCGAACATCGTAGCGCTCAGCAGGTACTGGTGGCGCGGGATGCTCAACAGGCTTCGTTCATGCCAGTTGAAACCCAGGCTCTGCTCTAAAAGCTTGAAGCCTGCAGCCGTCTCAACTTCATGGCGTTCACGCAACAGTTGATGTGCGTCCCTGACGCTCTCAGTTGTGTGTTGACGGAACCTCGAGAACTCCAGGCATGTTGACGGTATGAGCCGGTCATCGTGATCCTGCAAAGCACTCTTGAAGTCAACGCCATTCTGGCAGCAAGCGCAGAAAACTGTCCCGGCAGCTCCCTTGACACCCAGGACAGACTTGCATGCCACCTCGTCTCCAATGTGCAGCGCCACTTGTCCAAAGAACATGACCCGCCAATCTTCATGCCGCAAGTAAATGCCACTAGAGGTGTCAAAAGGCATGCGAAATAGCTCCAGAAGATGAGGCATGAGCAAACTCATACCGCCAATCTTCTGAACAGTGCTCGACTTCACCGCGCAGAGGCAAAACCAGAATGCCTCTCGAGAAAGGGCCCAGGAACCCAACTCAAGCACCTGGCAAGAATGACTGAAGTTATGCGTGTCAGACACATTTACACCCCCGATCTGTACACCTTGGGAAGTGAGTGCGCAGAACAAAAACGCTGGAAACAATTGAATCAAGTCACTGAGAAGTAGCACACTTGGAGCTTACGTTCGTTGTTGTGCTTCAAGGCATTACCTGGTGTAATTTCGTCTGTGTATACTGCGAACTGCCATTTGCGGTCTGGGTGAGGAGGGTGATCATTGCAGCATCGAACAAAGTGATCACGAAACAGCTTACAATGCGTGATAGCGCTCTGGAGGATGGAGACAGGGTGGGAGACGAAAATGGTTGTGTTTCCACTGCCGTCACTGAGAGGCACCTCAAGAGCTTGAAGCACAGGGCCGTAGGAAGTCGAGTACTCTTCGATCTGCTTCTCGCGGGCTCTCTTTATCGTACTCCGTGAATGAGCCTTTGGCAGCCCATGACGCTCGATGTCTTTGAGAATGCTCTCGAGGCCTCTGAGTGAGACAAATGAGCGCCTACCAAATTGGCTTAGGTTCATGGCTTTCCATGGCACCAACTAAAGTATATCAAGTGGAATCAAAGGGACGAATTCCAATGATTGCTGGAAATGCCATGTGATGTCACGTCATTCATCCCCTTATGTCATGCACATGTGAGCTGATGTATGCACATATGTGAGCTGTGTGAAGTACAATTGAACGTGTTGGCTGCATGGGTTGATGTGAGTTCAGGGTACAACATGAGTCCATGGCATATGACCCCATATATGACTCATGACATGTAAACAGCTTTGAACCATGGTCAATTACAGAAGCTTCCATTCCATGACCATGCATGTTCAGAAACACTTTTGTGAGTCGAATCCTTCCACATGAACGTGCGGTGACATGGGCTTGTAATCATGGGCATGCGTGACATGAATCATGGCATGGTCCTTGAAACAAATGAGAAAACCATGCGCGCAAGCAACGTGCCCACGCGCAAGAGTCAGCAGGATTTATCAGTGTCAGCCAGATCAGATTCACCCCAGCGCGTGGAGCGCTTTGAATCTATACACGTCAGAGCTCAGGACATCGATGCACTCTCAGTCTGGGAGCTCAGCCCTCCAGCTGCACACAAACAAGTCTTTTTTCAAAATCAACGAACTTGCGCTACTAGATGCACTCTGCCGCCTTCATGAAGATCTAACGAAAGCACGAAGGACTGCAGCCTGGTGAGTTCCGGCACTTGGAGCACCCGTTTGGCCTGAATCGAACTCGCTGTGCCTTCGAGAGCTTGGCCATCTTGGCCACATCTGCTGACTTCTCAGGAGCAGTGACCTTCTCCTTCTTGGCCTTCTGGTCATTGCTCTTGGCCGGCAACTTCTTGGAGGTCTGAACTGACTTTTTAGACGTCTTCGTGGACTTCTTCATGGCCTTCATCACGACCTTCTTCATGGCCTTCACCGCGGACTTCTTCATGGGCGAAGCATTTGCAGCAGCAGGCCTCTTCCTTGGGCGACCTCTCGAACACTTTGTTGAATTATCTTCGCCACGGGCCTTGAATGCCTTCAGCATTGCATCGGCCTGCTCTTTGGCCGACAGCGGCTCCACCTTGTCATTGTCATTCTCAGGCTCACTAGCAGCATCAGGACTGTGCACTTCTGGAAGGGCAGCCGTTGCCTTCTCCGGCATGTTCGAGGGAGGCTCCTCTTTGGTTGCAACCGTCTCTTTTGCCTTGGAGCCAAGGAACTTGAAGCCGGGCAAGTCCACAGGAGGTGGCTGACGTTGCTGCATCATGCCCTGCGCAGCCAACCTTGGATACAAGTTGAAGAACATGAAAGAACTGTGACTGTGAACATGTAGAAAAATAAATCTGGACGTGAAGAAGTACATGTTGTTGAACAAGCACTTTGAGATGCACAGTGGTATGATCGTGAGAACATGTATACTTTAGTTCGCCGGTGTGTCATGATCGTGTAAAAACAACCATCGACATGCCACTAAACACCACATGATGAAGGCATGGCGTGAACATGACATGATCGTGGCATGGCATGACAGTGGCGAGACATGACTGTGGCGTGGCTGAAAGCTTGAAGGCATGTTCAAAAAAGGAGTCAAGGCACTCAACAAGCACACGCAGGCTACCCATGCTGCTGACTGGACCAGGAGCTGCCACCAGAGCCGTGGAAGACGACGAAGGTGCAGCATCCTTGACAGTTCTATGGCTCTTCCTCAAAACTTTGACCACAGCCATGTCGTCAGTCTTGATGTCCCCAGCCTCAACCAGCTCGTCATCTTCTGTATAGGCACGCTTCTTGACCTCTTCAGGAAGGTTCTCAGGGCCATCAAATGATTTAATGTGATCCTGCGGGTAGCCAAGTGATTTGATGTTGCTCTTCAGACATTGTTTGAAGTCCTGCACTGCCGCATGAAACAACTTTTGGTTCTTCAACTCAGGAACCCCCAAGCCCGCCAGGAGTCTCACCACGTGGCCCACCGTCTGCTCGTTTGGATTCGTCAGTCCAATCAGAGCAGCTCTCTTCGCCAGCAGGTTCACTTTCGAGAGAGAACTTGCACTGCCATGAAGGTCAGCCACCTCCTTCTTCGTCAAGAAGCTCTCGAAGCTGAAGCATGTCTGTGGCACTCTCTTCTTCTTTGACGAATCGTTGTTTGCAAGCCCAAGCCGCTTTCCCACCTCGTGAGACAAGGCCTCTGCCTGAGCCTCTGTCCACGGTCCTCCAGCCAATGCATCTGCAAACTGAACTGCAAACGCTGGAGTGATCTCACCCAATGCTCGGATCTTCCTTACAGCTGTTTGTCATCCCATACTTAAAAGTAACCTGTCCTCCCACAAGCAAAAGCCCAAAACGTGCATGCGTGACATGACATGTGAAAAGCACAAGCAGAGCGTCCCAACCAAACCTTTTGCTTGCGCGTCCCGTACTTCAGAGAAGTGCTTCCCCAAAGTGTTCTTCTGCGCTGTGAGGAAGGATTGGATCTCGTTCAGCTCAGATAGGAGGTGGGACATCACACACCAAACAAAACTGATCAAGGAGAAGAAGTATGTCATGCCCCTCAAAATGAACTGGTGACACGTGCCCCTCAAAATGTCTGTCCTACATTGTGTTGACATGCGTCCTGACATGTTGTCATGGAGTTTGTCATGTTGACATGCTGACCGGTGTTTGGGCCTGTGGACATGGGTCTTCATGTTCAGACATGGGCCTT